TTTTTTTATACTTAAACTCATTAATTCATTACAAATCAGGACGAGGCCGGGCACCTCACAATTCAACCCGGATTACTGACAGCATCAGCCAGCTTAGCTGACAGACCATAGTCTGCAGAACTCGGCTCTACCGAGTTCCAGTTCCTAATGCAATATGACCAAAACCGAGATTTCAACATTCCTTTTATCGCAGTCCTAGTCTGAGTGCTCTGATTACCAACTTGAACCTCCAGGCTCTAAGCCCCAGGTTTTCCAGTACACCACTGAGTCCTTGTCCGACCCGACTACTCCTAACTACCCTACTGTCTGGGACTAACGCGGCCCAGAGGTCCTGGCCCAGGACCGGTTCCTTCTTGACACTCTGATAAAGGCCTACTTAGACCCTGAAACACCGAGTGTCCTGGTGTGTGGCTCTGCTAACTGCAGGCCTATTCCTAACTACCGTTCTACAACTCATTCTCCAGGATTGTCCATTTCCAGGATCCAACTCGAAATCTTCAGACTTCCGCTTGTGTGAACATCTGCTAACTTCTGGTTTCTTGCCCAGGTGTGTCCGAACCACCCCAACTGGCTTCGAGACCCTTTGCCTGCTTTCGCTCTCCTTCTCCAGTCCACCCGGATGGCCTGCTTCAGGCCCTTCTTGATGGGGCATTTCGTCTCCTTGTCAGACAGGGTTTTTTTCTGGAACCGTGCTCTGTTCCTGTCTTTCCAGATCACTTCGCAGATAATAACCCTGACTACCTGGGCTACATACCCCCAGCCCCGGTTTCCCTTAGTACTGGCCGGTAGGAATCCCAATAGAACCCATCTTTCGTCCCAGACAACGGACGGGTCTCCGAACTTGCTCCAGTGATACAACCACGATTTCCATACCCGTTTGGACGCAGGGCATTCCCACCAGAGATGTCTGGTAGATTCAACTGGCCATCTGCATCTTGAGCATCCGAGGTCTACTTCCATGCCCCTGCCCCTTAACCAGACTGCTGACGGAGTCACCAACAGAGATAGCATCCACAGTATGCTTCCCTGTTTTCCATTCGGCAGAATTTTGAGTGTTTCCCACAGTCTGTCAAACTCAGGGCCTGCGTCCGAGAGGTCCTCCGTCCAGATTGACTGCCATCTGGAAGTGGCTATCTGAGCTGGCTTTTTTCGACGGGGGGCTGAGCGCTGGTACCCCTGGGATACTGTGTATTCCAGCAGACTCATGGGCGATTGTTCCCCTTCGCTAGGTGACCAGCTCCAGGCACTGGGATCCAGGCTTAGTTGCAGGAGTGGGGTTTTGCCGATCCAACAGGGCGCCCGACGTCTTCTTGGTTCACTTCGCTGTTCCACAACCCTCGCCTGTGCTGGATTGTCCCAAGCCTTTACTGTCACTTCTTCTAGCATCGTCAGGGTGTTTGAGACGCCTTCACTGCGCCATCTTTCCACTCTCCTGAACCCACTGGGCAGGATCTCCTTGACCTTCCACAGCACATTCCCTTCTCCTTCTAAGTTCGAGATGTACCAGGTCCCCACCGGGTCCACCCCCCTTGGTCCCAGTATATCCAGCCATTCTGGAGGAATAGCATTCACCACCACTCTCCAGTGTTCCTCTACTCGTTGGAGTCCTCTAAGCTTTGTTCTCACCTCGCCTAGAGTCTTCCAACTGCCCAGCGTGGTGGACCACAGATCTTCTAGCTTCACTATACCCCGTTTGATCCAGGCTTGTCCGAAAGATCCTCGGGACCCGTCTGCCCACAGCCTGCTGCCGGAACGGGCACAACTTTAGGAAGTACTGGTGGTTGAAGGGCCGATTTTTTGTGAACAAAATATAGAAGCCATATGATTGCCGGCACTCACTCAGGCATATGGTTGATGATCTGAAGAAAGGGTGAAGCATGAATTCAAGAGCATGGCCGAAACAATTGAAACTCTGCAAATGACGCCAGGTGGATGCATATTACTGACACAAATGGGTGAGAACAAGACCAAGAAGAGTGTAGAGAAAAACAAGACCAAGAAGAGTGGAGGCAAAAAAATGTTACGACTTCTCCTTCCTCTAAAAACAGGCTAAGGTTCAGTGACCTGCTCACAGCACCCGCCCCAGCAAATCACCGGGATCATCACGATCCAGACAGGTCACCTGGACATATGAAGGGTGGTGTGTACGAAGGGAAAGGACATAATCAGCGCAAGCTCACGACTGAAGGACCTGGTGCGGAAGAATGGAAAAAAAGAAAAAAACTACATGCAGTCAAGGTTCGAGTTAGGAATAGGCAAAAAAATGAACACTACATGCAGTTTTGTCCAGCCGCAGTTTGATATGCACAAGAAAAGAAAAAAAAAAGTGTTTTCTAACTTTTCTTTCTTTTTTTGTCATTTTTGAACTCAGGCCCTCTGCACACCACTGCCTGCCCCTGTAGGCTGTAGCTATGACATCCGTGGTTATTAGAAACTGCCACGCCTCTTTTATTCCCTTGTCGACCTTGGCATGCGAGTGACCTACGGGTATGTCTTTTTTCTTTTTTGGTTACAAATACAAACGTAGTTGGCTGAAAAAGAATAAAAGAGTGGAGGTGAAAAACAGTGTGCACCCAAGAGCCTAGCTCAGTGGGTACACCCATGAACTGTTGAAATACACAGACCAGAGTTCGAATCCAGATGATGGAACTCGATGAGAAAAACCAACTACTAATGAATTGTGTGGGGCCGGTCACCTCAATGATAATATCTCAAGGCCGTCGTCCTTTCCAAAAAAAAAAGAGAAAAAAAAGAAAATAAAAAGAAGAAGAAAAAAAGAAGAAAAAAGAAGAAGAAAAATAAAAAAGAAAAAAGAAAAAAAAAGAAGAAAAAATTCAAAAAAAGAAGAGAAAAGAAAAGAAAAACAGTGTGCAGGAAAGAGTTTCTTCGAAAGAGTTTACAGGCAGTTGCAGGTGCAACACTTTACTACGATTCCCCTGGGTCCCAGGAGCGAAAGGGCCTCTCGCGGGGCGGACGGTAGCGCTAACTCTGCGCTAATTTTGCGCTAATTCGTGAAAACGGATTAGGGTTAGCAGCAGATGCAGGGTTACCCCCGCTAGGCCCAGGCGTCAACGGCGGCTAACGTATACTGCGGAGCTCGCCTTCGGCAGCTTTGAGGGCGAAGGGATGTCATCGTTTTTGTCTGCCTGCTTGGTGAATACACCGTCAGGGCCGTCGCCTACTATAGCTTTGCTATGGTGGTTAGAGGGGTAAAGCTGCTGTCCATCTAGAACAGCAACGTCCTTTTTTAGGGCGGGTGTGCCCCCTCATAGTTGGCCTGGCAAGCCTAGGCCCCCCGCCTTTCTGCCTTTCTGCCCGGATGCTGACGTCATCACCAAGCTCCAGTGACCAATTGAGCTCCTACGACTACTCCCAGATTAGGGAGATCGGCAACCAATGATACCATCCAGGTATAATTCTCTCTCCCCTGCATAGAGCTGTGTGGTCAACATTCCATGGTGTTAAAAAAGAGGCTATTCTAGTTGAAGCCTCTGATATTAACGATATATTTCATATTAACTATATCTTCTTCCTGTAGAACTGACATGAGCAGAAGTGCCCTCCCTCCGGGGGACATCCCGAGAGGGGCCACGAAAGAGGGTAGAACCTATACCTCTGAGGAGAGGGAACGGATCTCCTCCCTCCTCGACGCCTGCTTCAAAGATGGGTTATTACCGGCGGGACTCAATATAATTGGGGTAGCATCCATCGGGGTGGATCTGGCCCGCTTTGATCTGAATGAGGATTTTTCCGACCTCAATACTTGTGGTTAAAGGAACATGCCATAACGGTTCTCTTCCTCAACGATGCATCTACGCTATCGAACAATTTGAAGAAGAAATTGGTTAGGGTCTATAAAAATGGCTGGTATGATGCAGGGGTGGTGGATTGGACTGTGACTAGAGGGAGGTATCAGAGTGATGGCAAAAATCTCGCCTCCTTTGTCTCATCGGAACCGTCTGTCATCAGATGGATGCTCCAAAAGAAAGGAATGATGTTATTTATTTAGAAGGCAAGGAGTATCGAGTCCAATTTTTGCCACGGATTACGCTACCGGAAATGAGGGATTTTAAGATCTCATGAATTAGAGTTCTGCGGGTTCCCTTCAATTGATGTCGGCACTGCACGCCACAATAGAGAACACCTTTGGTCCGATCCTGAAAGTCCAACCCACGGATAAAGAAGAGGGAGATCCCGAATTGGGCACCGTCCGCTTCGACCTTGACCTGTGCGCAAAAAGCAGGGTTAAGCCAAGAGTGGTAATCGGAATTCCCAATCAGGGAGATTATTTTTTTGAAATTATATCCGCCTCTACCCCGTGGTGTGACCGATGTAGAACTTACTATCATTCCATGAATGATGATTGTTGCCCAGGGAAAATCGAAGCCGGTCCGTTTGCGGATCCATCTACACGGCCCGAACTTCCTAACCCCTCCTTTCTCAGGTTTTGTCCCGATGGGTGAGTCCCCCCAAATCTCAGGATTCCGGCGATATCGGGGTCCGGGGCCCTTGTCTGGCAACATGGTGCAAGCAGGGGCGAAGGATAGGAGACAAGGCGGAAAATAAGCGGATCAAGGAGATAAAGGGAAAGAGAAGGGTAAAGTCATAATGAAAGAGAAGGACGCACAGAAGGTCAGATATGAAAGGGAGAAGAAGAACAGGAGATCAAAGAAGGGTAAGCAAGGGCAGGAGAAAGAATGGAGTCTGAAATTTAAACAGGGCGCCTCTCCAGTATTATTGACTGAGGATTCAGAATCGGGGACCGGAGGCAGCGACAGCAGGGTGTCAAAGCTTGAGAAAAGGGCACTCCGTGTCCTAACAAAGGGTACTAGAAGCAGTGGAGGAACGTGGGTTAGATCGGAGGAACTGTCTTTCACAGAGCCGGACGAGGAGAAGGTAGGGAGAGAGGGGGCTAGTGGTGATGGGGTAAGCAAGGAGGAAGAGTCTGATGTGGGAGAAAATGCGCATGACCCAGACGAAATCGTCGCCACCGAGGGACTGGCGGGTGCAGACCACATGGAAACAACGGGGAGAGGAGATGAAAACATTCCAAAAGTCCTAGTCCCTCTCATCTTCACCAATGCCCAGAACCAGGTAGTGGTTCTGGCCTCCCAAGTTGCTGATGACTCCATGGAGCTACCTACTGCCGAAGTGGATGAATTGTTGACAGAATCAGTCATCCTGAAAAAAACGGCATCTCTCCTTCCAGACTTTCTCAGGATTAGACTGATTCAATGTCTTCGGACCGGTTGTCACACAGTCATTTTTCAGGGAGGACAGAAAGTGAGACTCTACTTTGCCTTTCTAGATGCCAAAATGGACAACAACATCAAAGAGCAGCTAGAAGCGCAAGGTAGAGATTGGTTCTCAATTGACCTGCTGGATTCTGAGCTCAACGAGGATTTAGATCGTATCGTAATGAAGGGCTGCATCTCGGCGAAGAACATAGCCGAATGGCTATCGGAAGCCGAAGTACATAGGCAAATTTTGTTGGATCCCTCCTTCCCTGATATCCTCCGCGTACCATGGCATGAACCCACAAGTCAGGTCATATCAAGACACAGGAAACAGGTGGACAGATCATCACCACCAGGAGACCGAATCCATAGCAAAGTCGGCCTCGGGGTGACCCATGCCAATTAATTCCTCCCTTAGGATCGCTTCATGGAACGTCCGTGGTTTATGCGACACTAACAGGAAACACAAGCGTAGTCGACTGAAATCCTAGATTCGTAAAAAAAAAGCACAGATGATCTGTATTCAGGAGTCAAAATTGGACGAATCAAGGATCAGGGAAGCAGCAAAATGGTGGACTGGGCCTCAATTTTGGAGCCCGGCCAGGGGAGAACAGGGGGAATCCGGTTCTAGAGGGGGAGTGGGGATCTTGATCCATCAGAAATTGGAAGTTCAAGTTATTGACCACATGATTGACATCTGGGGACGTTGGGTATGGGTGAAGTTCACTGTTGGAGAAGAAGACTGGTCTGTCATGTCTGCCTACCTCCCGGTGAATTATCATGAAAGAATAAAGTTTATTTCTGAGCTCACCAGTTTTATTCCTGATTCTTCGAACTTGATAATCCCTGCGGATTGGAACACAATAATAAACCCCGACATTGATAGTCCAAAATCAGAGCCTATCAGAACTGATACGAGACCGTTGAAGGCTTTTATCCTTAACCAAAGCCCTGAAGACCCGGGGTATACTTGGTTTGGGTCTCAGTCCCCCCCTGTTAGGAAACGGCTGGACTTCATCTTGATGAGAGGCAAACCTTGGGATACGTGCACCAAGGTGGAAATAGACTGATCACTTACCATTATTAGCCGAATTTAAACTGTCAGATCAGAGGAAGTATGGTCCTTCATACTTTAAGTTGAGCATGCAGCACCTCCCAGAAGTGATACTGTGGATTAAAAGACACCTCACGGAATGGCAGTCAGCCAGAAATCTCTTTTCGACAGTAGAAGACTGGATGGAAGTAGGCCTTCGGATTTTGCAAGGCTCACTGTGCAACCTCTCTTAACTAAAAGCGTTAAACAGAAGGAAGGAAGAACAAAGACTGTCGGTCAAAATTAAAAGAGCAGAGAGGGAGTTTGGGAAGCATCCAGTCTCAGATGCTTATTGGACGGATGTCCGAAAGAAAGCGATGCAGCAGTTAGAGGCCTTGGAAATCAAACAGCAAGAACAGTGGACGAGCTGGTTAGACCAACAAAACATTGTAACTGGTGACCGCATGACTAGAGAGACTTTTAGGCGTCTTCTGCTGCAGTCTCCCAAAACTTCGATCATCTCCAATGCTCCAACTGGCACATCCGTTCACGGCGGCCCCCCAAATCTCTGAGAAGTTAGACGTCATGTGCGAGTATGCTGCTCTTTGTTTTCAGGATATTTTAACTACACACGGACCCTATGAGGGTTTCTACACTGATCAACAAGACTTCTCGGAATTCTGGAAAGTCTCCACAGCACGTCTACCCACAACTAGTAGACTGGATCTGGAAAGACCACTGACCCTTGAAGAGCTTCATTGGGCGGCTAAGCAAATGACAATGGGGAAATGGCTGGGAGACGATGGCCTCCCCATCGAACTATACCTAGCTGTTTGGGACCTGATTGGGCCATACTTACTGGATATTTATAATAAGGTCCTAACGGGGGGGGGGGGGGGTCTGACTAAGGGCATGATAAAAGGTATAACTATGCTGAGCTATAAGAAGGGAGATAAATCGGAAGTTCGTAACTAGCCACCGATATCAGTTCTAAATGTGTCATACAAGCTATTGGCTAAAGTACTCGCCATAAGATTAGCCAGATACCTCCCAGCCTTAGTCGGAAAGGACCAAGGTGCCTTCGTCAAGCACAGATCAATCATGGAGATCATAGCTGCCACAATACAAGCAATTTCGCCGTGCTCCTATTGGACATGGAAAAAGCCTATGACCGAGTAGGGCTGGGCTTTCGTAAAAACCACTCTCTTAAACATGAACTTTAGCCCCAATTTATGATGTATTCAACAGCCACAGCTGCAGTAATGGTAAATGGGAAAATTTCCTAGTCGTTCTCTTTAACGCGCTCGTTACGCCAAGGATGTCCCCTGGCCCCACGCCTCTTTGTTCCACACATGGAGATTCTCTTGGACAATATTAGATTCAATAACTCAATTAAGGTTTATCACTTAGTGACAGTGTCCAATGGAAAGGAGGATCCCTCGCCAATGACCTCACACCGACTGGCCTGAACACCCGTTCCTTTTTTTTTTTTTTTTGTTTTTTTTTTCCTGGAAAAGTGGCTCCGTCTATTGGTGGGGAGTGCAATCAGACTCAACTCTGGACTTGCTCACAACATGCACACTTGAGAACCGATGGCAAAACTGAACTCTTTCAACTCAAAAAACAACAATGAACTTGTCTTAAACTCAATCTTAACAGCTGCACAACTTGCGGCTATGGCCGCCGAACACGGTCTCTACCACCAGCCTCACTCTCTCTCTCTCTCTTGGTCTCATGCGTGCACACGAGGATCACCCTGAATGTCCCCACTCAGCACAGCCTCACACCTGTCTCTTATACACATCTAGATGTGTATAAGAGACAGCAGATGTCGAGGCCGGGCACCTCACAATTCAACCCGGATTACT